CCCTGAGGTTTTGTGGGGAGATTCGCTACGGGCGGCACGACTCCAGAGCGCCCTGAGCTGTGCGGTGAGACACCGGCACGCCGATGGGCGGTTCTATGTGTCGAATGTTCGTTAAAATAAATAAATAAATAACGTGCAATAAACGAGTATGTCTCTAGTAATGTTCAAGCCCACATGGGCAGAGAATTGGTGCCCTTCTCCTTTGAGGTGGAACACAGTCAGGCTAGCAGTGTGTAGGGCGGTACGATTACAGGTAAGCTTGTGGCTGAGCTGCTTTTCCTGTTCTGTAATGCTGTCAATGTCTTTGCAGGGTAAACTTTTTGACTCTACGATAGCTGATGAAGGAACGTGGACTTTAGGTAATGACTTTTATCTGAGGTGACATCTGGGGGGGTGGTAGAACGCAAAACGTGCTGCAGAAGAGTTTACCAGCACCGCCCCCTCCCATACATTTTCTTCCTTGTTTCTTTTTATTCTATTTCAGTCTGTAGTTGTATGAAGGGACAGTCGTATTGCCATGCTAAGAAACTAAGGCAATGCAAAAGTCTGAAGTTAATAGTAATGCAACAGTGCCAGGTGTGGGAACGCAGTATCCCATGGCTTAGGAACACTTTCCTGGGAACGAACATTCACTTCTCAGGAAATAGATTGCAAAAAGTTTGATTGCACGTACACTCCAAAGTTAGAGCAGTACAGCTGTGTGCTTCTGCAACTTTTATTTTTCTTATTTTTTCCCTTCTAATTTGTGCATTATATTTCTGGGATAGGTGACAACACCTACAGTCCAAAAGCATCAAAAAGCAATTAGAAAATCAGGTGATGGTGCTTAAAGATAAAGAGCAAAAAGCCTCTCTAATTATTTGATAAATATTGCAAAGTGTTCGCAATGCTTTGATTTTTGAAAGCCATACATAATGACTGTACCTATTCATGTTATTTTCTGATGGATTTCCATCAGAAATCCTAAGTGCAAAATGACTGACAGTGACTCCTCATCATAGCAATGGTGGCTTTTACAAGTAATAACCTTCTGTAGAGCTTGGCTTTAAATGTTTGGTTATTCCCCTGGCTGACCTATATCTCTTCCTGTGTCTGACCCTAAATCTTTTCTCCATCACAGACCTCTCCCAAAGGTTTTATTTGGAATAGAGGTGCACCATAATGGTTCCACAAAATGACTGTTAGGTTTTGTAGGTCAGAAACTGAGGTGTGGCTGTACAGGTTATCTTTGCTTCCTGTTCATGTTTTTATTTATTAGTAAGTGCCTTTGACATTAAGAACTTAAACTATCTCAGAAAAATTCCTGTGCTTTGGCATGTTGGTGGTGAATTCAGCACAGCAACAAAAAGCCTGGCACACAGGGCACTAATGGTTGTTTTCTTTTTTCTTCATTCAATAGAAGACCGAAAACTGATACGAATTGTTCTGATGAAGACTAATCGAGATGCTGGAAATTGCTGGACATCTCTGTTAGAAAATGAATACGCTGCTGATCCTTGGGTACAAGACCAAATGCAAAGGAAACTTACGCTGGAGCGATTCCAAAGAGAGGCAAGTCAAAGGCCCCCACTTACTGCTTGTGTTTGGTGTTTGCAGATATGGGTTATGGTCACGAAAGCTGAGTAAAATTGTTCTGTAGCGTAGTGCCGTGGAAACAGATGGTACTTCAGGACAGAGATGTGTGTGACTCAGTATGTCTGTGTGCTTTCAGGAGGCTCTTCTGTCTGTAGCCTGTGTGAAGAATTTGTGAAAAATCAAGCGAGTTGCAGGGTGGTGTTTTAAGGTTTTGATCCGTAATTGTAACAACTTTTCACTAATGATAGCATACATATATTTCTGTTATTATCTTCAACTATGACATAGCTCTATGTATAATAAACTTCTAACATCTTACTCTGTTGAATAGTTTGTATATAACATCGGGTGACTGAAACTAGTTAACTCAAAATTGCTCTGCCCTTTGACTAAACTTGCTTAAGTTATTCTGACACACCTCTAGTACCCAGCTCTTCCTATTCAGCTCTGCTCTTTCAGAAACTTAATAGATGAATCAGCACTACAACAAAGATGACAATTTATATCTGAGTTTTTATCTAGCATGGGGGTACTTTTTTTTTTTTCCTCTAAAATTGTAATTTCGAGGCATGTGAAAAGCCAGAGAATTTTCTTAGAGTTTTCTTAATATTTCTTCACTTAGGAAATCTAAGTGCTTGCCTGATGAAGAATGGCATTACAAAGGAATTTCAGCAGTGGGCAACTCAACTGTGGCAATTTAATGTTGGTTAATGCATTCGCCTGGCAAAAGAATTTCAGTGTTAGTAATCCAGTTAACAGGTTGTACCTGTATGTCCTTGTCAGAGTGGTAGAATATGAAAAGAAACATTATTTTATTTTTTTCTTTATATCAGTTCTGTTAAGAATAATCTTTATACTAAATTTTTGTCTCTGTCAGAACCCTGGATTTGACTTCAGCGGGGCAGAAATTTCTGGAAATTACAGCAAAGGAGGACCAGACTTCTCTAGCCTTGAAAAATGAACTGTTTGCAACTGTGTTCCTTGGGAGCAATCACAAATTACACTGGAGGACTGGAATGTGTAACTGGTGAAGACTTCAGTGATCTATCCAGCAGATTGTTGGCAAGTAATCACTTCAGTGAAGAGAAAGGAGGTCTCTTCTAGTAGAGTGAAGAGGAAGTGTTAGTAGCTACCTTGTAACGTTAACTTTCTAGTAAGTTGCTAATGGTAAAGGAATTAAATGCAGAAGAGTGTACGCAGAAAATAACAAATGGAAGCAGAACATGTCTTACACCACAGTGAACTAGTGAGATAAATGTGCCACTTGTCTATGCAAGAATATCTTGTTCACTGTTGAAAATGGACCCTATAAGCAAGATACTTAATGCTTTTATTTAACATGCAACATGGAAGAATATCAGGAAGGCTTATTGAAATTCTGCTGCATAGCAGCCCTGTAAGAATCTGAGTGTTATTTTAAGAGTGTTTTAAATAAAGAAAACTACTGGATTTTGCCTAAAATGAGGTTTTACAATCCGCTGCACTGCCAAATATAATACTAGTGAGGAATGCCTGTAACCAGTGATAGGAGAAAACTGAGAAGTCAGATAGTCTGGATATAAAGAATTGTGTGAGTGTAATATCAAAATACATGAAATTTTCAAGTAAGAGAATATAGCAACTTCTGAAAGGAGTAGTAAGTCCCTAAATAGAAAATGATATATTTCATCTTTTCTGATACACAGCGCAATGTTTTGTTTTGTTTTTACAAATCTAAGAACATGCAGCTGTACATTTTGGTAGGTAGTTTAATGGTCACATCTTAAACTTAGCTATTGAATGATATAAGACTTCACATGTGCCAATTTCTTATTTTCTACCTGTTCTTAGTGATACAGGTGGAAAGCCCTCCAACTGTGTTATGCAGGACAAATATTGTGGCAAACTGACTAACAGGAAGATGAAATGTGATCACTGAATTCTACTGTGTTCTGAACACTGAAAATACTGCCTACAGCTAGGTCCTAAGCAGACAGCTCACTGGTGGTAATTTGCCAGCTGCTGTCCATCGTATTATTGAACATGACTTTTACCATAGCATCAGTATTTTAGTTGGCATATGGCAAAAATGAAATGATACCTGGAAGAGGGCTTTCTTGTAGCAGCAAGCAAGCAATTAGTTCTCGTAAAATAATCAAGTGTTCTTCTTCTGCCCATGTAATCCTTACACAAATATATAGTAGGTCCAAATACCATGCTTGGGTTTTAGAAAATTTGCCTTCCTGTGCAAGCCAAAGTACAGTTTGTTATCAGATGTATCTTTACCACAGTCCTGGTTTAGAAGGTAGATAGTGTAGCTAAGGAATGAGTGAGACTGCTGCAAAAGGTAGAACTGAGAACAGAGATAGTAAGTAACTGTTAATGCTGCTTCAAAGTGCTGACATACTATTCAGTGCAAGAATATTTTACTTTACAGCAGATGCAGTTGTTTATACAGGAATGATTCTATGTCCTTTGCTTACAGAAATTCAGACTAGCATGTGATGCTTCTCTGCATGAACAGATAGTTTTACTGTATATTCTTTCAAAACCAAGTTTTCTCATATTTTCTTCTTCATGAACTGGTGTTTTGTGCTTTATAAAGCATGTGTTCAGCCATTATAGCTTGCAATTGTTCTAGGAGGACAAGTTTAAACTGTTTGGTTTGCTGCTTCTATTGTCTGCTGTGATTTATTTCCTGGAGTCCACTCAATTTGCAGTTAATACCTCACCAGATGGTGGCTTGTGTTCCATCTTGCTGGGATTCCATCCCTTGCTTCCTAAATAAACCGTAAAAGATGTGACAGATGATAGAGTTGGATGTATGATAGTTACACAGTGACCTACTTTATGAGAAATAATACTGAGCAGTCATTCAAATTGCTCTTATATAAATGGGTAGAGGCCACCCTACAGGCATTCTTTCATACCTCTAATGCAAGATAAGGTCAGATAGTTCAAAGGACAAACTGCTATTTATGGATGTGTTAGGCACAGTAGATGGCTAAACTTTAATCTATTCACCCTGTAATGCTCAGCTCAATCCAAGCACTGAAACCTTGGAATTAGGAATGTGGGTTCCTCCTTATCTTCAAGTATCATCTGTGTATCTACTACAATGCACAGAAATAGATGCTATGTACTGTTGGAAGCGGAGTGGCATGTATTTGAAGTGAAATTTATACAGTGTAGTCTTTTGGCAGTCTGGGTGCACAAAATCGCTTGAGACACCAAAACAAACCGAGCCAAGCTGAAATAATTTCATTGAGCTTTCTTTTTGTTTTTCTAGCCTTTCCCATTGCAGCTTCAACCCCTTAAACTACATCCTTAGTCTCTTATGTCTTGCACTGAAGTTGACCAGGCAGCATTCAGCTGTAAGCAGCTTTGTGGGCTTCCTACTAAAATGACTTGTAATACACTGGGGAAAAAAAAAAGTTACTCAATTATTTGCATTTCAATGTTTAATTGAAAGGTACATATCTTGAGACATGACAATACCAGCACAATTGCATGCTGCATCTTGCAATCTCCCAGTAGGCTGACTGCCCATCTGTCTACATCACTTGTGTTCCTTTCAGCACAATGCATATATTGCACTGGTGGATGGAAAATGCAATTCAATACTATGCAGCATAACCATTCCCATGAGTTTACGAGAAAGCTTGATTTGTCCAGTATGGAGCTTTGGTATGTAGTTTTCTGTGAGAAGTTTAACTAGTTTGAGAGAAGTGAAGAATTATCTCCTCATCCATTATTGCCATAAAGGAGATGGATTTGGCAGGCTAGCTGGTAAGTCCACAGAGTATTCCAGACATGCAGATTCCTTTCTTCTCCACTGACTCCATTCATACAACAACCAGTTTTTAACAGAACTCAAGGAGTCATAAGCAACATTCCCCCAAATCCTCATCCATCTTACATACAATAACATATTCTTCATGTTCACTTTCACGTTAGTACCAGCAGCATGATACACCTCAAGTACTGACTTAGTCTTCAGGGAAAATCAGCAATTTTACTTGGTAAGCTGTCAAACAGACTATGGTTCCAAGTCTTCACGTTTTCCTAATCTTGAGTAGCCTGTAGGTAGCAGCACAGTGAAGGCTGAACATTTCTGACTGTACTTGTCCCTCTTGTTCAGTATCAGCATTTACTTCTTGTACAGTGGAATCCTGGCAAACTGATGCCCAATTTGGAGCAGGTGCTGTGGTGCTTTCTCCCCAGCCAGCACTAGGTATTATGAAGTTACCACACACTTGCCCATAATCTCAGCAAACCACACTTCTTATATAATACCGATGTTACTGATGCACTCTTAATGACTACACAACAGGCACCACAAAACCTTATTTTCAGTTTGTGTCCATGGTAAAGGTGAGCACCCTACCCTGTAGGAACACAGGTGCGTGCTGCTATCCAAACAGCCTGTCAGCTGGACTGATGAGCATTTGTCATTCTATCAGTGCTGAGTAAGGTGGTCTTTAGTTTGCCTGAGAAACTGAAGCACTGTGCTACTGCATACGTTTACCTAGTGTCAAGTAGTCTTTGGAAAGTGAACCAAGTTTTTTCAATTTAATATATAATTTTGCACCTGCACTTGCTGTAAAACAAGGTTAGATTACACAAGCTGCTCTACAAACTATAAGGTATTAAATTCTTTGCATCAGTATTGTGATATTTTACTGCTTAAATAGTAAATCGTCTAGTAAGACCAAAAGCTAACGTTAGGTATCATAGTCATGGAAAACAACATTTGCTGCAAGGAATTCTAGTCTGAACCACTATATATTCTTGCAAAAGTCAAGTTCTTCATTATTAAGATGTTTCTTGAACCTTCATCTGTCTATGAACAAGTTTCAGGCTGGTTTTCTCCTTTTATTGTACTCCTGTAAAACAAACAAACAAAAAAACCCACAATGAACAATCAACTAAGTAAAGGGATTTCTACGAGAATAAAATAAAGCATAAGACAGACATTAACACAGAAGAGACAACTTTTAAAGGTTTGTAGCCTTTAGAGTTAAAGTCTAGATAAGGAAGTAGTGTGCAACTCTACAGTTAATCAACTGCAATATGCATAACCAAGCGAGTTTCACTTTACTAAATGAACAGCTAACTAACTCAAAGTGTATGAAGCTGTCTGTAAGTGGCGTCAGTGAACCAGAGCAAGAGAGATTGTAACAGGCAGCTGTTTCCTTTTAGATTCTTTCTGCAAAAGGAGCAAGCTAAGTATTTCCCCTGCTTTTTTACCAGTTCTACTCCATATTTAAGTTTGAATGAGGTCGTAATGTCTGTAGAATATATTTCTGCTCCCAGAGCACATCAAAGCATCAGTTCCAGTTCCAGTGTTCACATATTAGGTAGCCACTTCCTTAGGTACACCACAGGCTCAAGCATGAACATGAGAACAGACCAGCCTCTGTGACAGGCCTACCACATTTACGTTAACATCTCCAACAGGTTACCTATATGGAATAAGAAACTTTGAAATAGTTAGCAGCTAATGACTTCTACATTGTGAGAACTGCTTTTACAAGTAGTTACCTATTATGAGCTGGTTTCTGGAATTGTAGGAAGGTGTGTTATTCTATAATAGCTATGCTTAAGCTGCCGTGCTGTACGTCCAGACACGATCCATTTTAATTTCTGGACATTTGGTTTGGAACACTTGCTTGAGGAATATTCTGTAAGGCACTTCAACACCAATTCCTTCCAGAAGGTCAAATCTCTGTTGTTTATCTAAATAGCAAGACAGAATCCCATATGTCACTAACTCACTACATCCTTAAATTACATGTGCATTTTTAGCTATTTAAAATAGAAAGCCAAACATCCCAAGCCAGATGGAATATAAAAAAGAAAAAAAGAAACCAGTACGTCAATAGAACTCCCCTTCCCCCAGTGAGAAAACCCCCGCATGCATTTTTATTCCTGCACCCTGGAAAACTTTATCCATACCTTGGAATGCAACTGCAGAAATTCCAATGCCTCTGTCAACTCCAGTAGTTTTTGTTCTTCTATCTCTAGTGCCATAATAGACAGTGCTAAAACAGAAGGCTGGAGAGAGAAAGATAACATGACATTTTTGATCTACAACTTTAAAATTTCTCTAGCCTCACTGACTATTAGCTTTCAAGTTTACCTTAGCTTTAGAAAACATGATTCTGCAGTGACATGCCTTAAGCTGGGTCTCAAGTCTCTCAAAATTAAGGTATCTTTTCCTGTAATAAAAACAGATGAGTCATTGTTGCACAAAAACACAATCTTTATCAAGACCACTCTTCTCTCTGGTGACAGTGACAGGACTTGAAAGAATGGCATGGAGCTACACCATGGAATGGTCAGCTTGGGTGTTAGGAAAAGGTTTCTCACAAGAGGGTGGTGGGCATGGATTGGGCTTCCAAGGCAGTGCTCACTGCCCCAGGCTGCTGGAGTTCAAGGAGCATTTGCACAACACTCTCAGAAATATGGTCTGAATTTTGGGTGGCCCTGCGTGAGGCAAGGATTTGAACCTGATGCTCCTTGGGGGTCTCTTATGACTTGGGATACTCTGCGATTCCATGGAAACAGAGCAGCTGTGAGAATTTCTTTATTTAAACAAGGGCCTCATTTGTACCAGAAGAAGTGTTTCAGTCAAACAAGCATTAAATTTTGGCAGTCTTCATGCCCAAAATAAATCTTGTGTTTTACAGGGAGAACTGCATCCATTCAGAAAAATGGAGTTTTAATGTTAACTATCAAAAGGAACTTTTTCTGAAATCTATTTTGAAATCTTTGCAGAAAGGCTTTACTGACACAAACTTGTTACACTATTATTGTTGAGAAATTTGTTTTGGGACTTAGAGAACAATACTCCCTAGATGACTTCTCACACAAAAAAACATTTTAAGATAACATTACACCTCAGTATTCACATTTATTATTAAGGAGAAAAGTTTTATTCTTTTTTTTTTTTTTTTTAAACATCAAAAGGCCAATTACTTGACTAATAATCCCTGGCTGTTTTCTGGCATAGGCTCCCTGATTACCTGCAGCCATACCATAACACAATAAGCTTGAGATATTTTACCTTTCACAGCTTAAATTCTCATGAATGAGTGAATGATAAAGCTGTAGAAACTGGAAGGCTGTTGTTGCTTTGACTTTCCAAGAAAGCTTCTCCAATACGATTTTCTCCATTCTCATCATATCAGAAACAGTGAACCTATACTGGCTTATTCGGATTAAGTCGGTGGCTAAGGGAACATTTCTCTCTTCTTCTGTTGCCTTCACAGCTAGGTAGAAGCAGCTCAGTCCAACACAGCCCAAGTGTTTAGGCTGTACCTAAAGAAAAGTCAATGTTTTTAGTTACTTTTAAAGAGGGAAGCATTTGATAAACCATCTCAATATGCAAGTACCGAATTATTTGTTATTTTAGGAGTAAAAAAAATTATGTAGAACTAGTTTCTACACATGGTTGTATAGGACCTAGAGTGTTGTACATATTGTCTTATATATAAACAAAAAATACTAAATTCTTGGGATATATATATGTATATATATATAAAAGGGAACCACAGAGAATTTGTAAGGGCAGGTTTTGGATTCAGAAGTCTTATACTCCACCCAGCCTTCTCATTTTTTAGGGACATACTAACATACAAGAAAAGCTAGCATTTGTCTTGGACTAAGAGGAATAGCAGTAATTCTGTCTCGTTAGAGGAATAACCCAGGTCAGCATGCCAAATACATGCAGAAGAATGGAATGTTATTTAACTATTAATTTTATCTGATTAATAAATGCTGAACAGTATCCCAACTCTTGATATACCTAAGAGACACTACTAAACAGCAGTAAACTGAGGGCTAATTCAGCACCTTCTTTTGTATGTGCAACAGGCCAAACAGCCTGTCTTGATCTAAAGCAATAATAAGCCTGCATTTCCAATGGGCACCTCCAGTTGGAACAGATGCCCTCTTCCTTCTCTTCTTCAGAGAAAGCAGCTTTCTTAGCACTGCTGAAATCCAACCAGGGAAAGCCATTTTTTAAGCTCTCGTGCAACTGGAATCCGGGGACGGAGCTTAACCTTTAACCATCTAAAAGCAAAGCAAGCCCTTCTAAATAACGGGAGTGAGGTCGCAGCGAGAAGCTATCGAGCTTATACTTTAAACAGCCGTACCTTCATTTTGGACAAGAACCTATCTAAGAAGTTGACAGCCAGCGAGAAGGTCTCCGTGTGGAAGCCGAAGAACTGAGTTAAGCTGAGCAGATCCTTCACTTCGAAGTCTCGCAGCCTCGCGGTCATTCGGAGGCCGTTGTCGTGGGCGGACTCGATCAGCCTCAGGCCGGAGCCCTTCGGCTGGCAGCGCAGCTCCTGCTCCAGCAGAGCCGTCAGCCGGTAGAGCAGCGCGCGGGCATCGCCGCTCACGAGCGTCTCGATCATCTGCAGCGACAAACGAACGAGCTGCAACGGCGAACAACAACGAGCTGCAGCGAACCCGGCAGCCGCGCACGCGCCGCCCGCACAGGACATGCCCGGGCCCGTCCCCGCCCGCCTCGGCGCCGCACCGGGCGGCAGCAGTAAGCGCGGTGCCCTGCCGTCCCGCTCCGCACCGCCGGCGATTCGGGCGCGGCGCGGAGAAGCCCGAGCCGCCGGCTGTTTGCTCCGACCCCGCGCCCTTACCTCGTCGCCGCCTCACTGCTCCCTTCGGCCGGAGGAGGGTCCCGAGGCGGTGCGCGCGACGCCGCGAGTTTACCCTACACAGCTCTCGGGCGGCCGGGCGCCGAGCTCCGCCCGCACGCTGCCATGCACCCCGCACCGCTCGCCTACGCCGCCGCGGGCTCCGCTCCGCCCGCCCGGCCCGCCCCGCGGGGCTGCGGATGACTGACGTGCAGGCGGGCCAATCGCAGCGCCCCGCCTTCTGCACGAGCGGCACGAGCCCGGCGCTGCGGCTCCCTCTGGTGGAGGCGCCGCCACACGGTCGGCGTTGGACGTAAGGCGCGCTTCAGCTACGTCGTCTCCTGAAATTTTAGGGGTGTTATTTCGGATTCAGGCTAAAATTTTCAAGCCGTCTTGTGGTAATTATCGTGCGAGAGGCTTAAGGTGCTTTTGAGGGGTGCATTGAAGTAGAATGCAAGCAGCTGCTAGGGAGCAAACTTTGTACCTCACCATCTGGCTGCTCTGCAGAGACACGGCGCCGGGCGGACAGCCTGCAGCAGCTCCAGCATGGGGTGTCTGAAAGTTACATTGACTAAATACAAGTGAGGGCTATGGTGTGTGCTTGTGGAAGTGTTTAGAAAATGAAGTAAGGTAATATTTTTTTTTTTTTCAGAAATGCGGTGTAAACGTAGCCCTCCAAAGGACTGTTTTTGTTGAGGCTGGTTTGTTGATTTGTTTTGCTTTCAAAAGAATTGCGTGCTCCTGCAGTCCATTTGTCAGATTTGGATGGTTTGGACTACAGTATAATTACATTTAATTAACGTCAGGTTCCCATTTGTTAGAACATTGATCTGAGTTGTGCAGAAGTCTTCCTCTGTTGTAACCCTTGAAATGATACAAATTTCTGCTTAGTTCCTTGACGTGTCTGCCAGACAACCAAGGGTCCCAGGGCCTACTGTTGCTGTTGGACTCTTTCCTTGATTCAAATCGCTAATAAATGTTTTTCCTGTTTCCTCTGAGCCTTCTCATTCTCCTTCAGAGAATACAGGAAGGGAGGCCTGGCAGGAGAATGTGTTGGTTCTTGGTTCTGTCTTCTTGTTCAGGACATGTCAGTGCCTGAGGCATTTTGTGTGCTTTGAGGTAAAAATATTTTTAAATGAATGCTGAACCACACTTGTTACTTCAACTCCTGAGATAACCTGCAGCACTTTTGTTAGTTGATATTTAGCATCCCTGCTTTTCTACAGCAGTCATTCATGGAAAGTAGAATTAGGAGCAACTGCTGTAACTGCACTGCTTTGCGTGCTGAGATGAAAAATGCTCACAGAAGTCATGCTATGCTGCACCATGCTGTATCTGCAGTTAGCTGCAAAAACCACAGAGCTGCTTATGCACATACCAATAAAAGTGCTTATGGAAATGTTTCACACTGTATCACTGAATCATAACTGTATCAAAATCATTTTTCTTCATTAGCAAATACTTTCCTCCTTCTACTTGCTTATATTTCTTTCTTCAAAAGGTAACCTGCTTCTTCAAGAGGAGGTTTCTCTGAATGTGCTGAACTCAGAATATTCTCTTTTATTATTTGGGCAGCTATCATTCCTTTTTAGGTCAGAGATCTTGGTTCTTTTAATTTAATGTTGCCTGTAAAAATCTAAGGAATGTAAATATTTATTTTTCTTTGCTAATGTTTTCAGTACTTCATGCATGCTCTTAAGTTAAGCCATGAAAAATTTTAACTAAAATCTGGCATTGTTTTAAATATATTTGAGAGAATGAAGTGGAATGAAACTTGTTACTGGAGAGCAAAGCATCAGCCTGTCCGTATCCTTCGTGGCATGCTTGTTAAAATGAATTTTATGTGCATTTGCTGTATAACTGGAGATGAAATATTATTTATTACTGTGCTCCTTGTGTCTGTCCTAGTTTCCATGGAAATAAATAGGAGGCATTACTTTTGGAGCATTCTATGTACTTTTCCTAGCTTTAAAACCTTTACATTACTCCATGCTCTCACTGCAGTTCTTCAGTGGTATCAGTATATACATCCAGCAGAGGAAGTTTGACATCTGTTGCATCAGAGCTTTCCCATGTGGAGCCTCTGTGTCTGTCTCAAATGTCTTTTCATTCTGGTGACTTGTCACTGCAGTTTAGCAATGGTCAGATAAAATCCATGTCCTGTCATACCTTTACTTTTCCTCTGCTGTCCCATTTGTCTGCTTGCAACTGCAGTGCAACAGGCAGTCAGTAACTGTATTGTGTGATGAGAAATAAGGCAGAACGGCTGTCAGGGTTAGCAGCAGCAGCAGTCATCCTTAGCAGATATAGCGTGGCAGTGAGATCCTCAGCTACCAGGACACGTCCTTGCCAGTGTGACAGGAGGGAATGTTGCTTGTATGTGATAAATGAACCAGTATTCAAAGTAAGTTGCTGTTTCTTTAGCACAGGAAACACTCCCTGATGTGTACTAGTTTGTAGCAGGGTCAGTGGCTTTTTAGGGTAGTCACATGGCCAAGGGTGAGACCCACCAAGAAGCTGTTAGCATCAGTTCCTCTAAATATGATAATTAACTAGCAAAAAAAAAAAAAAGTTTAGAACATCTTGCTTGCTCTCCTCTTTCCTGTGTTGGTGGCTGTCATTACCAGTATTCATCGTTCTGCTGTCTCACAAGGGAGCAGCTTTCCTGGGCAGCTAGTCCAGCTGTGTTCCTTTTTTTGGAAGGAGTGTACATATAAAACTCAGAGGATCTGTTTGGTGCACCAATGAGTTTTATTGTCTTATTCACTCAATATATGTGTCAGAAGCACTATTCATCCTATTTTTCCCATTGTGCATTTGTCCCACTGTTTTACTGTAGATTTCTGTGATGGGTTACCTTTGGAAGTGATTGTTTGTATGGTTTACCTTTGGAAGTGAATTGTGTTTTATTAGAAGAATCTTTATTATACTGTAGAAAACTGCAATGAATGACAAAGAAGGTGAAATCAGAAAAGCTTGAGATGCAGAGATATTGAAGAAAAATATATTTTGCATGGAAAATGCTTGGATTTTTAGAAGGCTCGGTTGAAATCGGCATGAGGAATTGTTTGGGTGCAAAGATGGGATGGCCAAAATAACATGTCCAGCGATTCCCTCTTTCAGCATCATTCACTTGTACAGAAGCCAACTTTTGTGTTTGTATTTGCCATATAGTTAACTTTTTTCCTCAGACCCTTGCTATAGTAGAATGAATGCATCTAAAAATCTTTATTTTGGCACTCCTTTGCAGTGACTTTCATTTGTATCTTGATTAGGAAAGAAAAATAATTTGTTTAAAACTAAAGATGGGGGCGTCAATCCCAAATCTCAAGCCACAGCCTTTCTGAAAAGAAATAGGTTGACTTTCTTTGCTATCAACTCTTACTTACAAGTCAATCTATTGCTTTCTATGATATCCCTACATAATTGCCCATGAGTACAAACTTAAGTGCTTCAAGTATTCACAGATGTATAATGTTAGAAATAAAGATTATAGTAAATGAGACCTCATGAATATGCATTTTTTGTTGCCAGTAAATCTGAGTTATCTAAATTAAAATTCAAAATTATATATTGCAGAGGAAATGTTCTTTTTAAGAGTCGGAAAACATTTGCTGTAGTCTTCCTGCCATCATTAAGCGCGTAATAATCATCTGAAGAAAATGATACTTCTTTTTCTGCTGCTTGTTTTAACTAGCTGTTATTTCTTATGTTGCTGTTAAAAATGGAGATATCTTAAAAAGCAGTGGGCTATAGAATGGATTGCAAGCCACTGGCTGCAGATGAAAGCACTGCCCTGTTTTGTGCTCTTGTGGTGATGTTCTGGGCTGAAGTGGTGCTGGGGGAAACACATTCCTTCCTTTCAGAGTACTGAGAGCACCAGTAGGTGCGGGGACCCTGCCAGCCCCAGCTGGAACTGCTGCTCCCTGTGCCACGAGTCAAACTAGAGCTCAGCACTGCAGTGGCAGAGGGACCAGCCTTCCTCTCATTTTTTTTTAAATGTTTTAAGAAAAATATTAAAATTAATATGCTTTGTTACTTACATATTAATTATATTATATATTTTATGAGAGCTGCTCTGAAAGCCATGCCTCCTGTTTTACTGTGTTGGCTCAGGACATCACAGGCGGGTGGATGTTGGTGGGATGGCAGTAGAGGCTGAACCTTCCCACCAATATTCCATTATGTGTTGTTGCCGTGTGACAGATGGCAGCGGAGGGGAAGTCCGACACAAAGGTGTGTGACATGGAAGTGTGTGTGGTGGAACAAAGGTGTGCCATTGAATTCCATCATGTGGAAAAAATGGCTCCCATTGGCATTCATGAATGCTTGCTGAATGTTTATGGAGATGAGCACAGTGAAGCTGTGGGTTACTTCTGCTTTTATGAGTGAGGCATGCAGGCTGCTGTTCATCACTGGTGAAAATGCACAGCTAATGGTGGTGAGTGTATTGAAAAATAGTGCTTTGTAGCTGAGAATTTGCTCTATCGAATCTTATGTCTTGGCCCAGGCAAGCCAAAAGGTTGGACACCCCTATTCTACTGCATTATTGTTGTGACATACACAATTTTACCAGTATGTTAATCTCTATGGAATGCTTTTAAAAACAACTTCTATCCTTGCCCAAATTGATTGGGCTTCCATTCTTGTGAGCCGTCGTGGACAAAAGTCAAGAGTTTTCAATAAACAGACGGAGGACAGACCCTGCAGATGAGACCTTTGGAGTATCAACCTGTTGTTATTGCCTAGAAGTATTTCTGCTGGAGTAGAAATACGATTGTGTTGTGATGGTTTGCAGATAGCAACTTGCCTGAGCAAAATAAGGAAGCACTCCAACATTGCTGTCTTAGAGGAATGTCTGTATGCAGAATCTGAGTCCTTGGGAGTTGGAAATGCTGCTTTCTCTCATTCTTGGTGGAAATAGGGCTGTGTATATAGATAGCATCAACCTCTTCCCAGGAAAATTAAAAGTTACTGAAGTCAGCGCTGGCTTTTCATGTTTTACCATATGATGTTTTGTGGTTAAGAATTAAGATAAAGCTTCTTGAAGCTGTTTTTTTTTTTTTTGGTGAAGATTCCTAAGAAAAGTAGAGGCTCTCCAAGAGTG